GAAAGTGGTTTCTTTCTTACCGACACATCACATCCACGTCTTCCAGATTTGTGGGAAACATATATCTAATGTCATCCAAATAGGGTCTAACCATTTGAGTACAATTATCGAGTTTCTGTGAACACTCTGATTCCCCTCTTGTCCTCCAAATTGATATAAAAACTAATGACATGAATGTGAAAAAAATTAATGTTAAATTCTCTCTGTGTGTCAACAAATGCATAGTTTTGCTAAATCTTTTATATTCTGCAAAATCCACGAAAATAAACACAAATTTAATATCCAAAACATTAAGATTATGTTAAATGATGTGTAGAATGGAGGAGTGGTTCACTATATAATATCAATACTTAATAACATTTTGTTTTGAATGATTGATTAAAAATAAAGTGCTTTTCAATAAAACATTTTTCAGTATTGAAAAATGTCAAAGAATTTTTATATATTATAGGAATTAAGTTATTAGGTGATTTAATTTAGTGGTTATGAATTAATTTTTATAAATTATTTTAATTGAATTTAAACACATTGTTAAAGTGAGTACATCGTACGCAAATAAGCACACCTTATTAAAAATTTTATTTAAAACTTATATAAACTATTTTGAAAATTAATATAATTTAATCGATGGAAACAGTAACCATACTGTCTATCTATATTTTATGTTTGCATATAATATTGGTAGGCTTATGGAAATATTAACTTTAAAAATTATATGTTGATAATTTCAGAATATATAATCAAAATATATTACTTTGTTTGTAAATAAATAATCTTCTGTTTATGTTATAATTTATAAAAATTGCAATAAAGTAGCAATATGCAAATTCTGTATTGGAAATAAAATTAAATCAATATATCCGGACTATTCGTAATTGAGTATTATTTTAACGTTGATTTTATTCATTTGATATATTTAAGTGCTAATTCACCAATACACATTTATAATACCATACAATATTTAAAAATTGCAACATCTTTATAATAAGGTTATAAAATTTAAGTTAAAAACGTATTGCAAATAATGGTGTAATACTCACATATGAAAGCCAATAAATATATGAAATGAAAGTTGTTTTGCCGAAAACAAGTCATTATTAGTATTAAATAACAAATTAAATGAAAACAATAAACAGATGACAATATGTTTCTATGATTGCAAACTTAGAGCAAACTTAAGATAAGAATTTCACTTCAATTGTCAAACAGTTATGATTTAAAAGTCGTTTCCAAAATCAATACACAAAAGAAAAATCGATTTTCATTTTATTGAAAAATAAGTTGTTTTAAGATTTCATATATGAAAACAAAATGAATTGAATTCTTGTGTTTGAGTTAAATGTGAAGAATAAATGAGAAAACATTGAATTCAACGAAAATGTGTTGAATTGTATTAAGACTTGTGGAGAGACGACGCAAATGTCAGATNTATATGAAAACAAAATGAATTGAATTCTTGTGTTTGAGTTAAATGTGAAGAATAAATGAGAAAACATTGAATTCAACGAAAATGTGTTGAATTGTATTAAGACTTGTGGAGAGACGACGCAAATGTCAGATAATGAGTGTCTTTGAGGCAAAAGTGTCCAAAACAGACACTTTTTACACGACTTTTATAAATAGAAACAATAATCAATTAATTAGATAACCTTTTAATTGCGGTTTTGGTCACTAAATCATTGTCACTAAAAATAAAATCTTTAAATCTTAACATTAATTCACATCGATTTACAAAATTAAAGCATTGAATGAACTCTGACTTTATGTGAAGAAATGTCGACAGAAGTGACGAGAGAAGTGAACAACACATCCAATTCGGTGATGTCTATGACATCTTAACCGCTATTATTAGCATTAATGGGCATTTTTGTGGTGTAATTGTAAAACTTTTTTTGATCGGTTTCATTAACCCTTGCTATCAATTGTGTGAATACAGTAGTCATACAAATGTACCAAAAATTTTTGAACAACACTTTTGTTCGCCTTTTTTCATTCTAATAGCGAATACAATATTCTTCATTCAATCGCTATATTTTGTTCATAAAAAATAGTTTTGTATTTAAAAAAAAGTTTGACACAAATGATGAGTAAAAAATGAATTTCAGATCCGGACTGAGAGGAAGTGCTCGAATAGATGATAGATAAGCGGTTTTAGTATAAAAACGGCATATTTTAGTCACACATAGTTTGCATAATTGAATAACTATTGTCCACTTCCGCGCTCCTCAACATTGAAAACTCTTTTTTTGTGTCACTCTTTTGTTATTAAAAATAGGAAATATTAATAAATGTATCGTTTATCCCAACTCTCAACTATCACTGTATTTGTCCGTTTTGTCCACTTTTAATGCATTTTTAATTTTAACACAAAAATTCAATTTGTATTTTAAAGAATATTTTATTAAACAATATATAAAACATGAGTTAATTTTGAAAATTAAGAGTAAAGTAAATGTTAAATAGAGACCAAATTCATCGCATTATTTAAGAATAATTTTCTAATGCATTCATATAAATGTTACAAATTAATTATATTAAGGTTTAAAATAAATTATTAACAGTAAGAACCAGACGATTAAACCCAAATGTTTGGTTAAACTGTTGGCACCAGAGGTGAGGATAGGTTCACAAGAAGGTGAGCCATATTCATAGGGATCACATCCATGAGGAGCCGAGACTTGACGTAATGTTTCAAAAATAGGCGATACTCTGAGCGCCTCATCCTTTCCGCACTTCAATAATGTTATAACAGTTACACATTTTGTGAATTCCGCGTAAGCGCTGATCCCATCGTTTCGTATGGAAAACATAAAACAATAAAGAATTTAATTTTGACAAAACATTTGGCTTTTATGCCATGTATTAGATTCAGTCGACGAAATCTCTCTCTCTCTCTCTCTCTCTCGAGACTCAGTGTAAACGCAAAGCTAATCCACTGATGCGTAATTGTCGATAAAAGTCAGTGCAAACCACACGTTAAGAAGTTTGCCATTAAATACTTGGAATCACGCGTAAAGTTTGCAATCAATTGTCAAACTTATGCTAAAATTTTTGACGAAAGTATAGCAAAGATGCGGTAAAATTTGGTCCGAATGAGAATAAGAAGCAATTATGAGACTATCGATCCTTTTCTGGTACTGTTGAGTGCAGACACGCATCAGTGGATTAGCTTTGCGTTTACACTGAGTCTCGAGGATAACTGTATTCAATAATAAATCACAATTTAATACTTATTTAGTTCAGTGTTTTATACAATAATAAATTGCAAATACCGTCGACCGCCGATTGCATCTCCGACTCCACTAAAACCTTGTCCTTTGCTTTACTTTCGTCAAAAATCTTAGCATAAGTTTGACAATTGATTGCAAACTTTACGCGTGATTCCAAGTATTGAATGGCAAACTTCTTAACGTGTGGTTTGCACTGACTTTTATCGACAATCGTTATAATGCACTTTCTGTAGGCATTGTATTGATTGCATTCCATAACGTTGTGAACAACATCTCGTCCGACATCAAAGTCACCAAATTGTTGGTCGCATTCTTTAATATCTTTCGCTTGAATACAAATCCCAGAATTGGTTTCTATCACTAAAAACAGATATCTTTAGATTTCAGTACAAGTTTTATAAGAGTAACCAAAAAAAGTCTAACAATTAATGTAAGAGTGGTGGTGAGGGTCGAGCCATTCATCCGTCCGCTGTTTACATGTGTCCACAATATCTCGATTCTTGTCATAGATGTAGGAAAGTATAGTAAAACTACTGCTCTTTTCTATATCGGGACACTTGTTGAGGAAATCAAGCAAACAGTCCACGTCTTTATCCAATGACTGACAGGACTGAAGGATCTCTGATTGAGTGGTAGTCTTAGCGATGTTTGCGGTATTTGTGAGAAAGTTTGCTTCGCAAGACTCTAATGTCTCGATCTCGCAGTCAAACGCATCGGCGCTTGTATTCAAAGCTCGCGAACGAAACATTTCTTTGTCGTTAATTTCGTTAATTCTTTGCATAAATACCTCAAAATTTTTCGGTTTCAATGAAACTGAATTATTGGACAATATTTTTCCATTCAGTTTTGTTATTAGAAACAAATAAATTAACACATATTTGAAACACATTTTAATTCAAATTTAAGAAATAAATCTAAACTCAATATTTAATTTACAACCACTTTTTGGTACATTTATATTAAAAAATTATAATTTCATATATTTGATGATTAAAAGCTATAATTATGTTCAAAGCATGAAATCACTTAATTTCAAATCAGTTCTGATAACAAGAATATCGCAATTAAATCATTTATCTTTGACTTAAAAAATTTTCAACTCATTATATTTAATACCTTTTACTCCTTTATAATAATACTTTTATACTTTAACTCTTTAAATAATGCTCATAAATGTGTCAGCGATTCATATTATGATTATAAAGTTAAGTTATTTATAATCATTTTTACTGACATACAGTAACAGTAAGTTCTTTGGTTTCTTCCATTGAGTTTAACTCATAGATTGGAAATAAGTAATCAATTATTGAATTTTATACATAAATTTAAAATAATGAATTATAATTTCTTGGTATCATTATAAAAAAGTTTATTATTTAATGATTTATAATTTAATTAAAATGCAATATTTATTATTAATATAAGTGAGTTACAATTGTGGCATATACAGACAAATACATGTAATATTCATTATTTTAAATAATAATTGAATAAAATTATAATATAAAAAATGACTTTAAAAAATATAATATTTCCCATTATATCGTATTCAGTCTTCGTCCGAGTCATCGATAATCAAATGCCTCTTTTTATTCTTCGACATAACCACCACTTCTTCGTCATCTGAATCATCAAACGATCGTTTATTGGTTTCCACATTCGTTTCATCGCTCGATTCATCAGAAGATTCTTTCATATCGTTATTCTTAGGACTTTCAACAGTTTCGTCGATGTCTTCATTAATTTGAAGATTATTCTCATCGCTGTCTTCACTATCACTCGATTCACTTTTATCGTCCAAACCGTTGTCTTCTATTCTTTTATCATTTTTGTCGCTCTCATTGATGCCATCATTTGAATCATCAGAATTCACATTTTGTTTCTCAATATCCTTTCTATTTTCCACATTTATATCTTCAGGTATTACGCGATCATTATCTTCGTCTTCACTGTCGGTCAATTGGTTTCTCTTCGGACTTCTGGCCTCCATATCATTGTTAACAGAGTTGTGATCTTCCCTACGGTCCTCACCATCACTACTATCGCTGTCGTCAACGAATTCATTACTAGTGAAACGTCTATTTTCGGTCACATTTGAATTCTTTGAGCGTTTCTTCTCCGATAAAACTCTTCTCTTTTTCGTTTCAATAAATATTTCCTAAAATTGAAAAAATAACATAAGATTATCAAAAGTATAACCAAATAACGTGAGACCCAAACCTGTCGCTTAAGCTCTTTAATCACTTGTCTTCTAGTCTTCGTGTCATCAATCAAATGGTCGACAATGAGATCGACGTAATCCTTATCAGCAGTGCCTTTGTCTTTGTATTC